TAGACTGTGAAGCCTTAAACACAGGAAATACTCTAAATAGCACCAAGCTATATTGTGACAAACTACAAAAAGAAGGTAGGAAGAGGAGGCCACTACAACACATGACAATGAAGGAGCGGTTACTTTCTACTCTACAATGAGGGAACTCAAACACAAGGGTGGACACCACCAACGCCACTGAACAAGACATCTACGTATGGATAATAGGAGACTTTAAAAATGACACTGAAACCAACCCAATCCGGTGGGTTCTCTTGCTGGAACGATTTGTAGTAGATGGGTACCAAAGGTGAAGATGAAGCATGAAAGAGAAAAGGGGATGGGGTCTCACACTGTGGAATGGAATAGATTAGCTAGATGGGGTTAGGAAAAAAGCCTTTGATCCAGTCCTGATGGCTTGTGCACATGAAAAAGAGGCTACATAGACTGGATGTATGTTATCTGCCCTAATGTTATGTCAATTTCCTTATTGGATAACCTGCATCTACTTATTCTATTGTAACTCCATATCATGAAAGGCACATATGTTGCTGAAAGATTCCCTTTTCTTAAAGATTTCTTATGGTCTATTTTAACATTAACTCTAACAAATATGTTTACTATACATACATACACATGCACAAATGTGTGCATTCATACTGGTACAGACTTACATAAACACATACATGTGCACACAGCCACACACAGGCATACACATGTGCGCATGCACACACACACACACACACACACACACACACACACACACACACACACACACACACACACACACACGCACGCACGCAGACATACATAATGCAATCATGTAACACACACACACAGACATGTGCAATGAAAGCACGCAACACACATACAAACATACTTATGTGTGTATGTATGCATATATATAAATATAATATTCTTACATACAGTTGCACACACAGCCAAGCAAACAATGCATATGTTACATGCATAGACAATCCTATCATCGTAGATATCATTCATATTGTAAAATATACAGATTCCACTGCAGTCAAATTGGGTAATATAATAAAACAGGTAACATGTCCAGACATTTCTCTCTTTTCTTCATTCTCTCTCTCTCTCTCTCTCTCTCTCTCTCTCTCTCTCTCTCTCTCTCTCTCTCTCTCTCTCCTAGATCATGCTTCTAAACATGTCCACAACACAGCAAAAAGTATACAAATAAAATCTATTCTTGTATGACATACAGTGATACTATGCACTAAGTTAGAATCTTCCCCTAGAATTATAACCATGAACCATTAATACTTAAGTAAGACTAAATACTGTAAGATTTCTTTGAAAGTAAAGAGCATCCATGACCTTGATTACTTTTGGTTTCCTTTTTCATGCATGTAATAAATATTCAAGTATTATCATTATTACACAATACCATCAAATTTCATCCTCTTGAGGTCAATTCATTATTTCTGTTGTCTCTAACCCTTATCATACATTTCATTATACCAAAATAAGAGGTTTAATTTTATGATTCTGAAATTGAACTCTTGTCTCAGAGTACCTTCATAGTAAATGGTTGAACTGATTGCTTTCCTAATTATATGTAGAAACCACTGTGAACAATACACAAAGTTCTTTTTAAAAGCAAACAGTTTTCATTTATAAAAAAGTTAAAACTATGAAAAATAAGTTCATAGAAGAGGAAAAAAATATTTTCCCTTCCATGTGGAAATGTTCTTACAGTAAATAACCCTTCAAAATTTACAAAGCTGATTTATAAAAAAGGGATAAAATTGAAAATCATCATCATAAAAATTTTCAAACAAAAATTTTGTTCTAAGGGGAAAATTCTACAATAAAGTATGTTTACAAGCTCAGGAGCAGCACCTCTGGTTGTTGCATATTACACAGAAATATACAATAATACATTCAGATGAACCACTTGGTTGCTTAACAGACACAATCCATTAAAAGAAATAATACAATCAAGTCAAATAGGAACTGCACAGTAATGCACTACCATAGTACAATCAGCAGTCTCTGAAATTATACAAATATAACCACAAAATGCATTACCATCTTTCAGTGGGGTAAAAAGTGTGAAAAGGAGGGTTTATTTAAATCTACTAAAATCTACTGCACAGTTTAGAGCTTACAGTGTGCCAACATGAAGAATAAGAAATTTCAGCAATCATGAAATATCATCAAGTAGCACCAACCACTGGAATGGTACGAATGAACTGTGCTGATATTCTGGCACCAACCCTAAATTGTGAGCAACATTTCTGCATTCAGTGTGAGCAAAAATGGCAAGAGTATGGTGCTCAGCACACAAAGCAGCAGCAATTCTCAGCAGAAAATGAATCTAGCAGTGGAGAGTCTATCACAAATGAAATCATATTCAACAGCCTTGTTTCTCTGACATATAAAGATCCTCATTGCATCATCACTTGCCCTTCTAAGATGAGACTAGCATCAAAATATTGATTCCATAATGTAATTAAGTATCTGATTCTCATCACAGACACAACTTGAAAGTGCT